CCGGGGCGAGCCCGAGGTCGCGCGGGAGGGAGCCGGGTCCGAGCACTCAAACCCGCTCAGCGTCCGCTGCCATCGCCGCCGCCGGCCCTGAAGCGACGCCGGCTCGGCGACGTCATCCGGCCGCGACGCGCCGGAAGCGGGCAGGGCCCTGTCACGTGACGCGAGGGGGTGGGGCCCGGGCAGGGCGGCGATTGGAGGGCTTTCCCGGGAAGGCGGGGCTTCGCGGCCATTGGCTGATGGTTAGTGCTGGGTGCTGGTGGGGGTGAGGCAGAAGTGAGGGCTCGAGTTGCCCATTGACGCTGGTGAAGTGTCTGCCCTTAGGGAAATGCGGTGAAAGGCCATTGATCATTGCTGTTTATTTGATAAACTATTATAGATGCATTCTGTACTTTCTTAAACATCCATCCCAATTCCTTTTGAAGAAGAGAGCAAAAGGCTATAAAAACATCTCTTGCTTTTGGACACTTTGTTTAGAGCACAGGACTATAAGGACATCCCAGGACCACAATTACACAGTTATATTGCTTTCCACAGTCTAGGAGGTCCTTATAATACGAAAAGTAGATGTTACAGTGTCATGAAATAATACAAAGTAAATGCAGCTGGAGAACCTATTGCTACAACTCATGTAAATGATACGAGTTTCCCAACATCACACACACAAAAAATATAGCTAAACTACTTAATTAGACACCTAATTATGGTGGCCTAGTGGTAAAGAAAACAAAACAGACTCATCCTAGAGAGGTTTAAACCAGACTGCTCCTTGGAGGCAAAGATTCTGAGGCTCCGTCTGACATACTTTGGTCATGTTGTAAGGAGAGACTGGTCCTTGGAGAAGGACATCATGCTTGGGAGGTGGAGGGACAGCGCAGGAGGGGAAGGCCCTCTGGGAGGTGGATTGATTCGGTGACTGGGACAATTGGGATGGGTGTGTCAGAGACAATGAGATTGGCACAGAACAGAGCAGAGTTTAGAGCTACTGTACATAAGGTTGCAATGAGTCGCAAGCGACTCAACGGCACATAACAACAACAACAGTGGTAAAGAACTGTTCACCTAAATGCCCATGGTTCAAATCTACCAAAGAAGGGCTTTCTCCTCCTGTGCAATTGACAGCTTCTGAAAACTTGCTGGAAGGTCAGCTGTGAGCCAACTTTGACTGGATGGTACCCAACAGCCTCATGGCCTAATGGGTAAGGAGTTGAGCCACCAACCCAAAGGCAGGCAGTTTGAATCCACCAATAACTCCAGAGAAGAAAAATGGACATTCTCCTTCTATGTAATTTACAGCTTTTGAAACTCTACTGGAGGATCAGGTATGAGTCAGTTGCATCTTGCAATGATCAAGTCTCAAACTCTGTAGCTGACACAGAAGACAATGTCCCTGCTGTGAAACTACAGAGGAAAAAATAATAAACGGGCATTTTCAAAGAAATGTTGAAATAAAACATCCTTTTTCCCCCCTTTCTCTATCACCTAGCCTCTCAAATTTTGTAAATGTAACATTGCATACATAGGACACCATATGCATAAATGTAGACACTAGCACATAAATATCTCATGATGTGAAATAGCAAAGTAGTTTTTATTTCAATTACATTAAAATTTAGCAAATTAAGCAACTATTTCATATTCATCCTGTAACTAGTAGTGCTGAACTAGACTAGAAAGACAATATATAAAAAAGACAAGGAGAAATTTCCTATTGTGATTATAATTCGTCATACACCACATATTTTCAGAATCTGACTTCTTGACACAGATAGAGCTGTATTTTACACCTCCACCATGTCCCCTTGGAATCACATGTAGTTATATGATTTGTTGGAACTAGTAACATTATTTAAGACAACTGCATCAAAAGACATAAAAATTTCTAAGTCAAGCACTGGAAAAACCCCCACACCAAACTTTGTGTGAAATGATGGCAGTTCCATTGACCTGAGTTGTATACAGATTAATGAGTCCAGAACTCCCCACTAATCTACAACTGATACATTGTTTTTTAATGCCAACAAGTCAGAACTAACCGCAGCTGATCCTCCAGTGGGTTTACAGAGGTAGTATATTGCACAGGGGAAGACTGTCCATCATTCTCCTGCAGAGAAGCCGGTAGATTCAAACTGTTTGCCTTTGGGATTGAAATACAGTTTCTTACCACTAGAGCACAATGGATATAGAGGGAGAAATAAACATTTGTTGTTTGAATCTACTTGAATTTGAGGGATTGTTTATTATACAGCATTACCTAGGTGGAACTGACTGATAAATCTACTTTATGATTCCTGGTGAGCAAGTCAACCTCCTACTAACCACATATTCTTGTCCCTCTTGCAGCTGCTAATTACACTTCTTCAGTCAGCACTTTATATCACAAGCTAGTGATACTCAAGACAAGGAAATATTTCTCCAGCAACAGTGGTCATACTAAAGATCTTGTTTCTGGGTTCTGGGCACATGCTAGTAAGTGAGAAAAAGAAATACTCATTCTAAAAAAAAAAAAAAAAAGAAATACTCATTCTGCATGCTACCCAAAA